GCCGCGCCGCCTCGGAGCGCCGCGCCCGCGGCGGCCGCGGCGCCGCTGCCGCGGGCGGGCCGCGGGGCGCCGCGGGCCCCGGCGAGGACGCGGGCAGCGCCGCCGCCGCCCAGGTCGGTGGAAGTCCTGCTCCTCCTCCTGCTCCTGCTCCTGCTCCTCCTCCTGCTCCTGCTCCTCCTCTTCTCTCCTCCTCCTCCTCCTCCTCTCTCCTCCTCTCTCCTCCTCCTCCTCCCCCCATCCATACTCCAGATTCGTAATCAAGGGAGGGGGGTCTCATTTCGCGGGGGGGGGTCTTTTCCAGGCTATATCTCGGAGGGCCTGGGGGGTCTGGGGACGATGTTCTGGAGGGTTCTCCCACGGGGGAGGTCTGAGATGGCTCGTCTGGAAGGGTCCAGACCCCCTCCCTGTTATTACGAAATCTGGAGTACCTTGATGTCGGGTCTGCCCCTCCACAGGAGGAATATCCAGAAATAGTAGGAACACCGTCCGCCGCCCAAGTCGGTTGAAGTCTTACATACTCCAGATTTCGTAATAAAAGGGAGGCGGTCACAACCCTCCCAGACGAGAAGTGTTAGACCCCCCAGGCTATCCATGAGAGGGCGGCCCTTTGCCCAGACCCCCCCCGAACCCTCCAAGACAGCTTAAATTAGACCCCCCCCCGAATGTGACCCCCCCCCCACTTTGTTATGGAATCCGGAGTACCTTGATGTCGGGCCTGCCCCTCCACAGGAGGAGTATTCAGAAAGAGTAGAAACATCGTCCGGGGACGTTTTTTTTTTTTTTTTTTTTTTTTTTTTTTTTTTACTATTTTGGGGCATCTGGGGAGTCTTTTTGTGGAACATCTTTATATTTTGTCGCCCAAAATACGCCTGTAGGGGGACAGGCCCGACTTGATCTTACCTTTCAGAATTCAGGAGGGGAAAAAACACACAGACATAATTAATCGGCGATTCCCAGAAAATATGGGAAAATATGGGAAGTGGGGGGGAAGACAAGAACCCAGAAAATATGGGAAAATATGGGGGATAATTTTATTTGTGTGTATTTATTTGTGTGTCCCAATTCCCCTTCAAGAATGCGGGTCCGGCGCCGACCCACAAGATCCGCGCGGACCTCCCAGAGGTTAGGTCTGTGTACGTTTTTCGGCTGCGTGCCAATCTGCTCTCCAGCCTCGGGGTGCCTTCCAGCGGCTGCGCCTCGCCGAGAGCGTTCCGGGGGTCCCCCGGATCGCCCCGAACGGCCGCTGGAGATCGGGGGCGGAAAAGAGGGGGGTGATGACTAGGGGGGGTGGATATCATGGCGTGGGCCATGATATTTCCCCAGATTTCATGGCGACTCTTCTTATTTCATTACGTCCCTGGCCCCCCCGCTGGGCCGCGCACATGCCGCCGGTCATGATTTGCACCCCCCCCTCTTTGACACCCCCCTCTTGGCCGCTCCCGAGGAGAGCCAAGTTATGGCCCGACGGCCCGAGGGCATCGAGAGGGGGGGATCTGCTCGGGGAAGACGCGTCGACCCCCAATCGCCCAGCCATCGTCGAGGGTGTGCGAGGCCGGATCGGGACCATCTGCGGTCAGGAGCTTTGGCTTGGCGTGTCGCGCCGCTGGTTCCGGCCCACCGCGCTTCGGCGGGACAGGCGATTATCCCCATCCCTGTCCCCAGGCGGCAACGTCCCCAGCCTTTCCGAGCCTCCCGCCCCGCGGAGCGGAGCGACACGCTATGCGCTTGTAAGGCGTAACGTGTCGTCAAGGCCGCCGTGGCCGCCTCGGCGACACGCTGAGCAGGAGTTCCCGATCGTGTTGTTGATCCTCCAGCAGGTCCCCGCACTTTACCAAGGCGCTACGCTCTCGACGAGGCCTCCTAACAATTTGCTCATGACTCGTGCTCTCGCCTGAGGCGTCTTGATGAATTACGACATCAGTTTTATCTCCCTGTCCGCCCGACCCGCCCGTTGGGGCCAGCCCTCCCGACCCGCCCGTTAGGGTCCGGGTCCGCCCGCCCGACCCGCTCCTTAGAGTCCGTCCGTCCGCTTGCTTGGAAGCCGCCCACTTCCCAGGATTTCTTGCTCAGGATTCTTGTCATATGATGCTTGAGTAAGGATTCCTTACTCCGGACTCATTACAAAGGGTTGTTTTCGAAGGTCTCTCCCATACGGATTCCTTTCGAAGGATTCCATAGCAAGGACTCCTGAGAGAGGACTCCTGGGTAAGGATTCCTGAGTCGGAGGTGAGGGGGTGAGATCGAAGTGGAACGGAGAGCCCCCCTACCGGGATATCGATTTCGGTTTCGTGTTCGTGCGTGCCGTGTGGGCGAGGCGAAGCTGCGTGGGCGGGCGAGAGAAAGTCTCCTGTGGCTGAGGCGCGGCCGGACCAAATGTCTCCCTTCTGGGCGGCCGGGGCCCCGCGGTGTCCCGCCGGTGTCCCGCTGGTGTCCCGTGTGGCTGAGGCGCGGCCGGACCAAATGTCTCCCTTCCGGGCGGCCGGGGCCCCGCGGTGTCCCGCCGGTGTCCCGCCGATGTCCCGTCGGTGACCCGATGATGATGATGATGATGATGATGATGATGATGATGATGATGATGATGATGATGATGATGATGATGATGATGATGATGATGATGATGATGATGATGATGATGATGATGATGAGGATGATGATGAGGATGATGATGAGGATGATGAGGATGATGAGGATGATGAGGATGAGGATGATGAGGATGATGAGGATGATGAGGATGATGAGGATGATGAGGATGATGAGGATGAGGATGAGGATGAGGATGAGGATGAGGATGAGGATGAGGATGAGGATGATGATGATGATGATGATGATGATGATGATGATGATGATGATGATGATGATGATGTTGATGTTGATGTTGTTGATGATGATGGTGATGATGATGTTGGTGTTTTATTTTGATGATCGATAGTGAGATCGATAGTGAGGTCGAATGTGAGATCGATAGTGAGATCGATAGTGATATCGATTGTGAGATCGAGCGTGAGACCGAATGTCAGATCGATTGTGAGATCGATTGTGAGATCGATAGTGGTATTGGTAGTGAGATCGATTGTGAGACCGAATGGGAGATCGATTGTGAGATCGATTGTGATATCGATAGTGAGATCGACAGTGAGACCGAATGTGAGATCGATAGTGGAATCTATTGTGACATCGATTGTGAGATCGATCGTCAGATCGATTGTGAGATCGATCGGTTGAGATTGATAATGAGATCGATAGTGAGTTCGATTTTGAGATCGATGGTGAGACCGAAGGTGAGATCGATTGTGATATCGGTTGTGATATCGATAGTGAGATCGGTAGTGAGACCGAATGTACGATCGATAAGGAGATCCAAAGTGAGTTCGATAGTTAGATCGATAGTCAGATCGAATGTGAGATCGATTCGATTGTGAGATCGATTGTGAGATCGATTGTGAGATCAATAGCGAGACCGAGTGTGAGATCGATTGTGAGATCGATTGTGAGATCGATAGTCAGATCGATTGTGAGATCGATCGATTGAGATCGACTGTGAGATCGGTAGTGAGTTCGATAGTAAGATCGATCGAGTGCGACATTGGTCCCTTGCCCCCCCTCCCCTCACCTTCTTATCACCCGAAGGGTGGTCGTATAGGTAAGGATTATTTAGTCCAGACTCTTGCATAAGAGCTCCTTAGTGAGGAAGCTCGCTTCTCTGGCGCACGCATTCAAGTCAGAACCCAGTAGGGCGAGCGGAGCGATGGGCATTCTTGCAGGCACTGCTGTTCGCGCCCTACATGCACCTCCTGGGCATTGACTTGGCGTCGCTCGCGCGCGAGGTCGAGGCCTAGTATCAGCACCTCGCCAGCTCGGCAGGCCAGGCCTTCGTCGGGAGGCGCGAGCAGCCCAGGCCTTCCGCCTCATGGTGCCTCGCGCACCTCACGTTCGACGCCTACGCGAGTCACGACCATCTCGACGTGATGGACTTCCTCTGTAATGCATGGGCGTGCTGGTTCGCCAATGTCGGGGCGGGCGCTAGTGCACAAGCTGCCCGACACCCTGGCGGACCTGATCAAGGTCAAGCTGGCGGACGTCCGCGAAGAGGCCTCAGTGCTGGCCTGGGAGCAGGCCGCCTTGGGCGCGCTGTCCGGTGAGGCGCGTGCGCTGGTCCAGCGCACGTGCCGCGCTGGCGCTGCCGTCGCCCCCGCGCAGGTAGTGTTCGGCCGCCGCCGCATCCAGCGCCGCCCGACAAGCTGGCAGTGTGTGGGTGGCCTCGCATGCGCGGCCACCGACGCTGCGAGGACGAGGCTGGAGCGCAGCGATGTGCGCCCTCGGCCTTGCGGCAATTTCTGGCGCGTGCGCGCGCCCGTCTCCCAGCCTCGTCCTCTGCCTCCCTCGCGTCCGCGTCGGCGCCTCTGCCCACGGCCCGCGAGGAGGCCACTGCGATCGCCCACCCCGCTCCCCGACGCCTGGTGCGAGACCGTGGATTCGCGTCGGCGGGGTCGGGGATGCCGACGGCGTTACTGGCATGCGTCTTGGGGGGGGAGCGGCGCAGGTATTTCGGCCGCCTGTGCTGGTCCGTTCGGGGCCGAGGCTCCCACGCAGACCCCCCCCCCGGGGGCCCACTGTGTCCAGTGGGCAAGGCAGGGCTCCCAGTGGGCCCGGTGCTGGTAGCAGTGCACGGGAGCCCCCGCCTGGGGTTGCCGACCCCCACCACATGGTCGCCGAGGGGCCCTTCGGTTATTGTCTCAACTGCGGTGGATCAGCAAAAAAAAAGCATCCAGTCGCCAATCTCCAGTGCTGATGGCCCACTGCAATGGGCCCCTCACCTGGGAGACCAGCCGGCTTCGGGCTACAGCTTTTAGAAATGTTCGAGCTGGCCGCCATCTTCGGACGGGGATCCCAATAAGAGGTGGCGTCCCGAGTGTTTAGCACTCGTTTCTGTCCTCGTAGCTCCCCAGTGGTATGCTGCTGCGGGGACTTCGCGGAACGCCCGGTCTTTCTCCTCCTCCTCCTCCTCCTCCTTTTCCTCCTCTTTTTCTTTCTCCTCCCCCCTTTGTCTTTTCCGCCTTCTTCCTCCTCCTCCTCCTCCTCCTCCTGTTCCCTCCGCTTCTTCCTTCCCCGAGGCCCAGAAGCCACTCCGATACACACCTTTTCCACAAATGCTCTGCGGCCTCATTCAAGGCGGTCCGAACTCCTCCAGTTCAGTCGGACATCGTCTCCCAGGGGCTCTCATGTTTCCCACAGGGTTCCTGGAGCTTCTCTGAGAGGCTCTGGGGACTCCAAGGGACTCCAGAGGCTGTCCAAGGGGCTCCGGGAGCTCTCCTCAAGGTTGTGGGGCCTCTCCCAGAGGTTTTGGGCCACTCGGGCGTGGTGATACCTAGAAGCAAGGCATTGGCAGGGCGTTCTCGAAGGCGATGTGCCATCCAGGCTAGGTATTTATGTGGTAATGAGCCAGAAGAGGTGCTGTCAAGACCTCTTCGGGCAGGAGATCTGGGTAAGGCATTTCGGGGATGCGCCGAAATTGCCCCCCCCCCCCACCCACACACACACACACACACACACACCCACACACCCACACACCCACACACCCACACACCCACACACCCACACACCCACACACCCACACACCCACACACCCACCACACCACCACCACCACCACCACCACCACCACCACCACCACCACCACCACCACCACCACCACCACAACAACAACAACAACAACAACAACAACACCAACAACAACAATCCTCCTTCTTTCTCTACTCGGCACTGGGGCTCCTGCTCGCCGCCGAAAGCTGGCTTTCCCAGAAAGCCGGGGCTCCCGCCCGCGCTCCCGCCTCGGCGCCGCGAGCGGCCCCCCCTGCCGACAGCGGCGCTCCTGCTCTCCAGACGTCCGACGCCGCGATCCGTTCGCAGTGGGCCCCCAGGAGATCTGGACCCTCTGTCTGGATCGGGCCGGGCGAAAGGGGGGGATTGGGAAAGGGGGGGTTACGAAATTTGCTGCATGCAGCACGCAGCTGGTCTCGGCCTCACCGAGGGGCCCAGTCCTCGATACATATAGCCGTCTCCGGCGCCGGGAGGCGCCGGGAAGATCGGCTACGTGAGCTGATTCTCAAATCCCCCCCTTTGCTATCCCCCCCTTTCGCCCGCCCCGACGCTCTCAGAGCGTTCCGGAGCGCTCTCAGAGCGTTCCGGAACGCTCTGGAGCGGCCGCGGCGCCCAATACATCCTCCAAACCCGCGGATTCTCAGAGATTCCGAGTTATCCCGATCCGATTTTGTCCCGATCTTCGCGTCGTTTTACTCTCCCCAGGGCCAGAAGCTTCTCGTCCCGAGGCGGCTTCCTCGCTGCGGCGGGGCCTGGCAGGGCCCCCGGGGGGGGCCAGGCCAGACGCTGCCCACACGAGGGGGAGGGCAGCGCCCGTCGCGTGCGCCGCCCTGCTGCAGCGAGAGAGGGGTCTGGGTGCCCCTCTCTCTCGCCGCACGCACGTCTCGCCGCGCCGTGTGGCCCTGTTCAGAGGCGACGATAGGGGCGAACAGCCCAGGAGAGAGCTATCTATGTATATATATATATATATATATATATATGTATCCAGGGGCGCCGATGATCTATGTCTTCGACAAGGCTCCCGGGCGAATACGTGTAATGCCCGCCCCTGGGCTGTTCGCCCTTATCGTCGCCGCCGACCCGTGGCCTGCGCGGCCGGTGCTCACAGCTGCGGGCGTTGCGCCGCCCCCTTAGAGCGCTGAGGCCCCTGGCTGCACGGCAGGAGGCTGCACGGCAAGAGACCGCACTGCGACCCCGCCGCCTGCGCCAGCGTTGAACGCCGCTGGCGACCCAGAGCTGGCCGATGTTGGAAGGGATCTGACGTTCCTGAGCGGCCGATCCAGGGCTCGTTTCGATTCCTCCGATTCGATTCGATTCGATTTCGATGGTTTCCGATTCCGATTCGATTCGATTTCGATGGTTTCCGATTTCCGCCGATTCGACTTCTCCCGACTCGGCTGCCGATTTCCGCCGATCCGACTCATTTCGATCGCCGATCCGACTTGCCGATACGACTTTGGGGGCGCCTGCCGATCGCTCCAGGTGGAGCGATCCCTGCGGTGTGTCAGATGCCAGCGCCGAAGCCGGCACGACACGCTCACCTGCCGCACATCACTTCGTCGTCCCGCCTCCCTGGTCATCCTTGCCCCGTCTCCCCTCCGCTCTCCCTGGGCCTCCTAGATGGGGTCGGGGGGGATGGGGTCAGAGGATCGCGCCGCATCGCCGAGCGGCACCCCGCCTCGCGAGGAGAGCGTCGTCGGGCCCGCCTCGGGCGGCGCGGCACACGAGCTGCGGCCCGCCGCGAGCGCGGCCCACGAGCTGCTGAGCTGAGATGCGCGGCCGCGGCGCCCGCCGCAGCCGCCGGCGCCAGCTGCGGCGGCGCCGCAGACAGCCGCGCAGCACCCAGACTTGTAGTATGTGCAGGCCTACTTTAGCCGTGATCACCAGAAAGACTGGCCCTGGGAGGCTTTCACGTGTCGGCCCCTGGGAGGCGATTGTCGTTCGAGACTTCGCCAGCGTGTACACTGTTTCGATACCCTTCTGGCTGCTCCGAGTTATGTCTGGGGTGTGGTCCTTGAGCACGATGTGAGCCACAAGAACCCAGACCTTCGGCGTCCCCAGGCCTCCTCTGGGTTGGAGCCCTTCCTTATCTGGGTTCTGGCGGGTGTGCCTGCGTGGCATGTTGGCCGGATCGCCCAAGCATGCTACCACGAGAGGTGCATCGGTCGCGCGAGGGCTGCGCGCACGTTCGGAAATCTCGTCGCAGAAGCTCCGTGGCGGGCACTTTTTGTCTATAAGATGTTGTACTCTATGTTCGGTTCTGGCGTGCGTCTCCAACAGAGGCACATCGTACTAGTATGTACCTGTGTGTCCTAGTTTGCCTCTCCCATCCCGGCCGCCCTTTGATTCGGTGCTGGGCCGGGAAAGCGCGCAGGTAGCTTTCGGCTTGCGGGGTCTCTGGCTTTTCTATTGGGTTTCGCGGGGAGCCCGGCTACCCACCCCTCTCCATGCAGGACATAGGGCCAGAATAAATGTGAAAAGTGCTTGCCAGAGCGGACCCCAAACAGCGAGCCATACAATGTTAAACAACACAGTGGAGGTGAACGCAGGTCGGCGTAAGCTACGCTGTGCAAGCTAAAGGGTGTGGTGTGGGCTGTGCTATGTAAGCCATGCGGTGCCATCAATGCGGTATGAGATGTGTTGCGTAAGCTATGCGGTGTACGCCATTTAGTGCGAGCTGCTTTGTGTAAACCATGTTGCGGTCTCTGAGCCATGTTGTGCTAGCTGTGTTACCCACCCAGGGCACGGGGCCCACGATCGGCGGCGAACCCAGGGGGAAGCGAGAAGGAGAAGGCCCTCTCAGAAGGCTCGGAAGGCCCCCGGCCGTCCGAGCAGTTTCTGGAGCCTTCCCCCCCCGAGACACGGAGACCAGCTGCTCAGACGGCGCTCGGGAGGAGCCCCGCCGCCTTCTGAGGAGGCCTGCTCCGGGCGAGAGCGTGGCGAGAGCCTCGGCGCACGGGCCCCTCCCCCCCCCACCAGGGCCACGGGGCGGCCACGGAGGAGGAGGAGGAGGAGGAGGAGGAGGATGAGGAGGAGGAGGAGGTGGGCGGCGCGGGCGCGGGCGCGGCGAGGCCTCGGCGCGGGGCGACGGGGCGGCACGGGCGCGCGGCGAGCGTGACGAGAGCCCAGCGGAGACCCGCGGGCGGCCCAGGAGGCGCCCGCGGGGCGGCGCGGGAGAGCTCCCGGCGTGGAGAGGCGGCAGCGCCCGGGGCTCCTCCTGCTCCTCCTCCCTTCTTCTTCCTCCCTCCTCCCTCCTCCCTCCTCCTCCCTCCTCCCTCCTCCTCCTCCTCCCTCCTCCTCCCTCCTCCTTCCTCCTCCTCCTCCTTCCGTAGCCATTTTGGCTCAAGAAACGCACAGACAGCATTAATCCTCGATTCCCCAGAAAATATAGGAAAACATGGGAAGTGGGGGGGAAGACAGAAACCGAGGATATGTGGGATATAATGTGGGGGATGTTTTTATCTGTGTGTGTTTATTTGTGTGTCCCAGTTCCCCTTCACAGATGGGTCCAGAGATGGTCCGCCCCGCGCCTTGGGCGGAGGCCAGTCGAGAGCGCGACAGGGCCCCCCTGGCCAAGCGCGCCCGAAGAGTCGCAGCGCATGGGCTCTGGGCGCCGAGCACTGCACCGTCCCGCAAGAGTCCAGCCCCAGCGGTCGAAGTCCCCAGACTGCTCTTTACAGCAGTGAAGAGGTCACCGGGGAGAGTACCGTAGAACGTGAGGTGCAATATTCCACAGCCAGTGCTTGCACCAAGGGTGAGGAACTTGGGGGGAGTGTTTGTCTGGGGGCTCCGTGCTCGCCGCCGCCGCCCCGTCGCCGCCTTGACTACAGCAGTGAGAAGGAACACAGGAGACTCTCGAGAATCTAGTACTCCAGATTTCGTAATAAAAGGGAAGGGGTCTGGACCCTCCGAGACAAGCCATTTCAGACCCCCCCCGTGGGAGAACCCTCCAAAACATCGTCCCCAGACCCCCCCAGGCCCTCCAAGATAGCCTGGAAGAGACCCCCCCCGAAATGAGACCCCCCTCCCTTTATTACGAAATCTGGAGTACCGTAATCATATATATAGGATTAGCACACACACACACATATATATTGCTAGTGTGGTGACCATTCGGGAGACCATGCGGGAGACCGTACGGGAGGCTATACCGGAGACCACTCTCAAGACCACGGGCCCAAAGCCACTGGTTCCGCTCTGGACGAGCTGACGCGTGCTCCGAATCGATGTGGAGGATCCCGAAGCACCCTCCGCATTGTGTCATTCCACGGTCTCAGAGATCCCGACCCCTTCCCTGGGGGCAGCTTTTCGCCCCAGCCTCATTCTTGAGGGCCCCCACACTTGTTGCACAGCGAGTGCGAGCTGCTGATTGCCTCTCTCTTGTGGCCAGGGGGTTGGGACCCTGGCTCCTGCTTTCGCCCCCGCAAGCACTTGAGAGGAAAAGTGCTACAGGCAAGACGGGGAGAGGAGTGCGAAGCCCCGGGAGGCCCGACGAGGGGCCCCAGAGGAGTGCGAGGCAGTTCTTCGTCCCGGCCTCGTTCTTGAGGGCCCCCGGGGCCCGACGATGGGCCCCAGGGGCCGAGATCGAGGAAGCACTCCCACGCCGTCGGAGATCGGCGCTGCTGCGGGAAGAGGCAGCACTGCGGTCGGGCCTCTCCCGAGCCTGGGGGCTCTCTGGGGGTTCGCCGCGGGGGCCTTCGCGGGAGGCATGGTCTGGGTATGCTTGCCGCGCCCGTTCGCTCAGAAGCAACGTCGTGTTCGAACCAACACCCAGCAGAGGCATTCTGAGATCAGCAACGGTGAAGGGGCGGAACCAGGAGTGTGAGGTCGGCTACTGAGGGCAGGGCTGAGAGCACTGCCATGTGCACAGTGGTGTGGTGTTTCCCCATATCCCGCGCAGAGGACCCTCACACCCACCTCTTCCTCCTCCTCCTCCTCCTCACTACTCAGTGCCACTCAGAGCCACACTCAGGGATACTACTCAGGTTCTGATATGGTGATGGTGACGATGATGATTATGGCGATGATAATAATAATGATAATAATAATAATAATAGTAATGATGATGATGACGACGATGACGATGACGATGACGATGATGATGCTGATGCTGATGATGATGATGATGATGATGATGATGATGATGATGATGGTGCTGCTGATGACGATTATGCTGATGCTGCTGATGATGGTAATGCTGATGCTGCTGATGATGGTAGTGATGTTGATGGAGGTAATAATGTTAATGTTGGTGTTGATGATGATGATGGTGATGATGATGATGCTGATGATGATGATGATGATGATGATGATGATGATGACGGCAATGCTTCTGTTGCCGATGATGTTGATGCTGTTGCTGGCAAGGGTTATGATGAGGATAATGATGATGCTGACGCTGATGGCGATGTTGGTGACAATGATGATTATGATGATGCCCACGACGATGTCGATGATAATGATGATGCGAATGATGTTGCTGATGACGGTGATGATGACGATGCTGATGCTGATTATGATGATGATTACGACACGATGGCGATGCTGATGATAGTGATGATGATAATGATGGTGATGATGCTGATGCTGATAATGATGCTGATGAGGCTGATGATGTTGGTGATGCTGCTGATGTTGATGATGGTTTTGATGATGATGATGATGATGTTGATGATGGTGATGATGATGATGCTGCTGCTGCTGATGATGTTGATGATGATGATGATGATGATGATGATGATGATGACGGAGCAGGTTTTCAGGATGTCTCAGATGAGGTGCTGGTTTCAGCACCCCCAAGGGGCGGCCGCCAGGGGGTATCTCACTCCTCCGTTCGCGCCCAGATTGCGGGGATTTCTCGAGCGGTGTGCCTGTTTGCGCCCTCAACATCTTCCTCTGTCGGAGCGCAGATTTAGAGGGTGTCTCGGGCGAGGCGCAGGCTTTCGCACACCCAAGGTGGGCGCCAGGAGGTATCTCACTCCTCCGTTCGTTCCGAGATAGCGGGGATGTCTCGAGCGGTTTGCCTGTCTGCGTGCCAACCATTTTCCGCTTTCGGAGCAGATCTTGAGGATCTCTTTGGCGTGGCGTTAGTTTTCGCACGCGAGGGCGCCCAGAGTGCGAGGATGTCTTGGGCGGTTTGCCTTTTGGGGTGACCAGACTCGCCTGCGTTCAGAACAGATTTGAGGATGCCTCAGGCGAGGCTCCGGTTTCAACGCACCTGAGGGGGGGGCGCCAGGGAGTATCTCACTCTTCAGTTAGCGTCCAGACTGAGGGGATGTCTTGAACCGTTTGCCTGCTTACCAGCCCAACATCTTCTGTTTCGGAGTAGACTGGAGGATATCTCGCCGAGTCGCTGGTGTTCGCACCCGAGGGGGCTCAGAGTGTGAGGATGGTTTGAGCGGCTTGCTTGTTTAAGGTGCCAGACTCGTCTGCATTCAGGTCGAATCCTTCGTGTTTCACGTGTGTCCTGGGATGCCGCTCCCAGGTGACTCCAGTGCTACGTGTTTTACTTATGTTCCTATATATTGGGCTTCCCCTGGGTGGCGAATTCTTAGTGTCTCACGTACGTTACTATATATTGCCCCTCTTCGGCGGCTCACATCCTAGGTGGTGATTTACGTATGTTCGTATATGTTGGGCCTCTTCTGGGGCACGAAACCTCACCAGGAGGCCCCAGCAGACTCCAGGAGGTTCCAGGAGGCACCATGAGGCACGAAGAGGCACCAGAAGTTCCCAGGGGGCCCCAAGAATTTCCAAGAGGCCCCAGGACGCTCCATGACTCCCCAAGAGGCCCAAGGCGGCCCCAGGAGGCATCAGGAGGCTTCGAGAGGCTCCAGGAAACCTCAGGGGATCCCGGGAATGGCTCCAGGAAGTCTCAGGAGCCTCCAGAGGAGCCTCTTATGTGTTGTACACGTCTGTTCCTATAGATTGGGCTTCTCCTGGGGCACGAATCCTTCTATGGTTTATGAATGTTCCTATAGACAGATCTTCTCCTGTGGCCTCAATATTATTCGTTTCCCCTATGTTCATTCAGATTTGACCCTTCCTGGAGCACGAACCCTTGGTGATTCATGTGTCTTCCTACAGGTTGTTCCTCGCAGGGGTCGTGCCCGTCCGAACCAAATATGCCACCGGCATCGAGGCGACAGCACGCTTCCTGCACGAGTTGTAACGAAGCCTCAGGCGCAACGGCTGCCAGACCAAACGACCTCGGGGGGCCGGTCCCGGGTTCCCCGCCTCCCCGTTGGGAGTCTTCTGTGGTATTTGTCTGTGTGGTCCTTCCTTCCTTCCACCAGAAGCCTCTGGCGAAACGCTATCAGGGGAGAAAATGCGCCGGCTCGAGCCACGATGGCCACGGAATCCCGTTCTCCTATGCTTTCGATTCCCCCGCGGAGGGCCAAGGCATAGAGAGCAGCAGCCGGTCCCCGTCTGCCCGGGGTCCGCTTCGGGGGCCCCCCGCAGAAAAAGGGGGCAGGCAGACCCCGCGGCGGGAAGTCTGGGCGTGCCTGGGTGTGCCGGGGAGGCCCAGAGACATCCGACGACCCAGACTCACGTGGTTCCAAGAGGGGGGACCCCAGGGAGAGAGACTTGTGAGACGGGCGATGCCGATTCCTCAAGTCCGTTCGGCTTCGCCCACTAGGTCGCTGCACGAGGCTCTCGCTCGCACTATTCGAGGTCTCAGATGCAGCGCCGCCGTCTCAGAGGTCCCTGTCGTTGGCGTCCCTGTAGGAAGCGTATCACAGGCATCCAAGGCTTCGAAAGAACAACTGGGCTTGTTTCTTTCGCGTTCTCGGTCTCGCGGAGCCCGCGCCGGGCCCCGGGGCCGTCAGACAACGACTCAGGACGAAAAGCTGGCCCTGGGGAAACAGGGTGGGGGGCTTTCGGGGGCCCCGTGCTGAACGGTTGCCATGTGACGTGCCCGACCCATGTGCATCAAGTAACCAGGGCAATTGGCCCACATGCGGATGGATGCTGAAAGCGCAGGAACCATCGTTGTGTTGTGCAAGCTGCACGGGGTGGGCGCGCGTTGCACGATTCGCTGGACAGCGATAGAAGGACGAGGAGAAAGGCCACATGCTCGAAGAGGAACGGGGGCGGGAACGAGGGGCAGGAGAAGGACGGACAGGGGGGCGAAAAGTCAGCGCGGCAACATCAGGCAGACGGAGGACGGGGGGGATTTTGATCACAGCGACAGAGGCGGGATGAGAAAGGAGGGCCGCGTTTTTTCCAGTGGCGCGCAGACAAGCAGCACAACCAACGCCATGTCGCACTGGCGCCCCGAGGGATCAGCTGTCCATAAGTACTGAAAGAACTGAGCCGGGCCCAGCTCGCCCGCCAGCCTCTCCGTTTCCTTCCTGAGCATTTCCGTGCGGGATCTAAACTTCAGCAGGCGCGCCGCCAATGAACGGTGAGGTCCCGCTCTGACCTGCGCAGGACATCGTTACACGGGCCCGCCCAGCAGCCCAGAAAGTGGCGATAGTTCTGCAGTTTCCAGCCCCAAGGACGGCGAGGTCCCAGTCTGATTTGCGTATGGAGCCCGCTGCGACAGTTCCGCACTTCGCAACCCCCAAAGACGGCGAGGTCCTATTTTGATTTCTGTCGAATATCATTACGTTGGCCTCTTCAAGCGGCCAGCGCAGGTGGTGTCAGTTCTACAGTTCGCATCCCCGACGGGACGTGGATGTCCCTCTCTGATCGGCGTGGGACGTCGCTGCGCTGATCCATCAAGCAGCCCACGAAAGTGGCGACATTTCGCATTTCGCAGCCCCCCATGGACTGGCGAGGTCCCGTTCTGATTTGGGTAAGACACGACACTCACCTGGACCCCGCAGAGGTCCCGCCCTGATCTGGGAAGGACGTCGCTCAGCTGCCCCCCGACAGCCCCAACGACGACGTATTCACAGCTTGCGGCCCCCCCCAAGTCCCGCTCTGATCTGCGTAGGACGTTACTCAGCTGGACCCCCCAGCAACCGCTAGAAGTGGCGACTGCCCCGCCATTCGCAGCCCCTCAGACGTGGCGAGGTTCCGCCCTGACCTGGGCAGGGCGCCAGTCCCACGGACCACCCAGGGACCTTCGACAGTGGCGATTGTCTCGCAATGCGCAGCCCCGCAGGGCTGGCGAGGCTCCGCTCTGAGCTCGGTGGGACGTCATCCAGTTGGACCCAAAGAACCCACGTTGACGACAGCTTCGCAGCTGTAAATCCCCTGTGGATGGCGAGGTCCCGTGTCGGTCTGGGTAGGGCGTCGCCCAACTGGACCTCGTAGTAACCCTCGAAAGTGGTGACCGTTTCGCAGTTTGCCCCCCAACGGCGGCGAAGCTTCAGGTAGGACGACGAGGTCAGAAGCAGGCCGGCATGCAGGTGCGAGCCAGGCAAGAGGCAGGAGAGAAAGTGGGGAAGAGAGGAGAAGGGAGGCGGGAGGAGGAGGAAAAGGAGGTCGCGACCCCGGTGTTTCATTCGAAGCGAGACCCCGTCGCAGGAGCGTTGGCAAAAGCGACACGTCCGATCTCTGGGGATGGATTTTCTCAAAGAGCTTGTGCGTGCGGTGCAAGGCTCGTCGACAACACATCTCGGCTGGAATCGGTGCGAAAGGGTGAGTGGGAGCCCTTCAGATTCGGAGTCGGTTGCTCGCGGCTTGTGGTCTCCCCCCTCATCTCCTGTATGGACTCCTGGTATGGTCGCCCACATGCATGGTATCGTTTCTTGTCTCTGCTCTGGCCTCCCTCACGACAGGCAGGGGGTGTGCCTCGTACTCCACGGGGCCGTGCAGCAGGGCCTTCTGCCGCCGGCTCGTGTATCCGTATCCGTTTCAACATGTGCCCGACCGTCTCCCTGTGGGTCGATTTTCTGCCCGGACTCGACGACAATCCCGGTGGGCGGGGCTCAAGGTACGGCGGTCAATGCGAACGGGAGTCAGCCAGGGCGCCGGACCTTTCAGGATCCTGCAGAGCCAGGGGTGCACTGACCCAGGTTAGGGTGCACGATCCTGTTGGATCCTGCAGAGCGTGACTGACCCGGGCCTGCATGGACCCGGGTCAGTAGATCCCCGAAGGGGTGGATCTTTTTATGGTGGCTTCTCCTCGGGGGTAATTTTCTTCCTTGGGGGGAGATCTTTTGATAGCCCCATGATCCCAAACAGTCCCCGCACGCCCAGGTAAAGAGGAAATGTTCGAGCGAGGAGCACAACCATCAGGAGGGAAAGAAACACACAGACACAATTAATCGGCGATCCCCCAGAAAATATGGGAAAATATGGGAAGTGGGGGGGAAGACAAAACCTAGAAAATATGGGAAAATATGGGGAGTCGTTTTATTTGTGTGTATTTATTTGTGTGTCCTGGGGCCCCTTCAAACCATTCGGATTCTTGATGGAGGTGAGGATCGCTGGTGAGCACGGCCATCACGGCTGGGGCCCCGGGGTCTCCCAGATCTTATGGCCTGGCCTTGAGTCGGGCTTTTGTCCCTGCACAGGAGGCATATCCAAACATAGTGGAATAATAATCTGGGGCCGATTTTCCTATGATGTTTCGACTCTCTTTTGAATCAGTGTTGTCCATGTTTCATTTGCCCTTCGAGATCCGCCCGTGGGAGGACATGCCTGATCTGATGCTGGCCCCCTCTCCCTCGAGGCCTCCCAATTGGCGCCTTTGCAGATGCGGTCGGGGGATCGCGCCCTATCGCCGATACATCGGCGATGCGGTTCGATGTGGGGCCTGGTTTTCTCCACGCGACGGCGCCGATGCATCGCCGGTGTCGGCGATGCATCGGCGAGGTGCGATCCTCCGGCCCCATCTACTCGAACACAGTCCTCGGAGGCCTGCTCCCGCGCACCCGACAGTCATGACGTCGGAGGTCTGGGTGGTAGCATTATTCGGCCACGACGTGGCATGGGCATGCGCCCTTCCCTCTCTGGGTTCAGTCATCAAGTGCTGCGATCCCGCGTGACGGTAGTGGCGGCGTCTTGTCGCTCGTTCACGAGTAGGGGGCAGAGGGAGGGAGGAGGAAGTGGAGAGGAAGAAACCAGAGGAGGGCGAGGGCGAGGACGAGGCTGGAGGAGGCGGAGGACAGGGAGGACGCGAGGTACGTGGACGGGAGGGAGGAGGGGGAGGACAGGGAGGGGTGGGGAGGATGATGTGAGAACGAGGAAGACTGAGGATGAGGCGGAGGATGGAGGATGAGGTTCAGGAGGAGGATGAGGAGGAGGAGGAGGAGCAGGAGCAGGAGGACCAGGCGCTCTGCGCACTCTCATTATCTTAGGGCTGGTAAACCCTTGTTTGCACGTTTCACAAACATCTGGGCGCATCGGCTCCTCCTTGCGGCACCCTCGCGGAGGCTTCGTTGAATGGCAGTGTTGTCGCCCACAGGAGCGCGGCACGGACGCCACGAGTGGAGGTGCGGACTGGACCCAGCGCAGAGCCGCTGAAGTTCATCATGCTTCCTGTGCCTGTCCAATGCCGGGCCGATGCCGCAGACAAGGGGAGCCGATGCCGCATTTCACCCTGCGGAGCGCGCGGCGCTCCTTTTGCGACGGCGGTCGTGCAGTTCCGCTGTAACGCTGTAACGTTGTAACTTTTGTGCGGCGCACACCCTCGCAGCTTCAAGCCGGAGATCCTCGGATCGTGCGGCTCCGCAGGGAGCAGGATGCCCGTGTGCGCTCGCGGCACTCGAGCTGCTGGGGGCCTTGCCTCCTGTCGGTGCAGCTCCGGGGGAATCACGAGCCGCAAGCGTGTGCATATCCACCGAGTAAGAAAAACTGAGTAAACGCAAACTTTCGGAGCTCCGCGTGGATTTCTTGGAGCACTGCTGGGCCCCCTTGGCGGTGCCTCCGGCGCCGCGCCCGGCGCGCTCCGCGCTCCATGGAGGGGGTCCAGCACCGATCCAAGGAATCTGCGCAGAGCCATGGCACTCCGTTTTTATGCAAGCGCTTCTGCCCCTGATCCACGCCCGCACGGTCTGGATACCGCAGAAACGATCCCACGGTTGCGCGATCTCGTGGATACGCTTGGCGCGGGGCGTCCGCGTAAGGCCGTCCCATGCGTATCCGAAGGGTCCGGCCCGCGAGGCTGTGCATCTTGACATCCGATGTCTTGACTTTCTCAATGCAGGGTTCCCCAGAAGACCCGGCCCTTCGCCCCGGGCCGTGTCTCCTTCGGGGCCGTTTCGGACGGCCTCGGGGCCCAGTGGAGGGCCCTTTTTGCAGGCCGCGCGCAGCGAAAGAAGCACCGACGCCTCGATTGTCGCACGACGTTGGATGTCTGGGCTGCGGACGTGCTTCCCGCCCGGGGGGGGTGCGCCCGAGCAGGGGCCGTGGCTTCCGTGGAGGGGCCGTTCGCTCTTTGGAAGGCGGCTGCCCAACTCGGCCTTCTGCGGCGGCGCTGCTCGCCCGGTGGTCTCTCCGCTCTCCTCCCCGGGCTCCTCGTCTTCCCGATCGACCCTCCTCATCCTCGCCCTCCTCCTCGCCTTCCTCCTCGTCCTCCCTCTCCACGTCTCCTCCTCCCCTTTCCCATCCCTTCATCACTTTCGTCCTCCTTCCCCCTCCCATCTTGCTCCTCGTGGCCAGGCTCCGACCCTTGGAGGTTCTCCACACGAGGGCAGGTGGTCCCAACCATTCGGCGACCTCATCCAGTCGGGGCCCGTGCGAGTTGACCGCGCTCTAGCCGGCTATGCAGGAGCTGGCGATGGCGACCACACACGACGAGTTCTTTTCCCAGATAGCTCTTGGAGAGCGAAGAGGTTTGCGGACTAAAAGTTGGCAGGCAAGGGAAGGCCAGCTCATCTCCATGGCCGCCGGTCAGGGTCCCTGACTCAGGGAGCCTCGCAGCGACTCGCTGGAGTTCGCAGTGTGTTCCAGAAGTTGTCTTACTCGTTCCCAAAGCGTATGCCGCAAGCCTTTCCGCAGCTTCCTCGCAGCACTTCCTGGGCTCGCGCGCAGCTCTTGATTCGAAGTTTGCAAGCTTCCTGGGCGTCCTGCCAAGCTTTCTTGCAAGCGTCTTCTAGAAGCTTTCTGGCGGCTCCGATGGCTTCTGCGGGCACAGGACTCCTCTGCAATCCGAGTTGTTGCCGGTATTTCTTGGAGAGCGAAGACTTGGCATCGTTCAGACGTGTGCATGTTTATTTGGCGAGGACCATCGAGGGGCATCCTTGATCATCGAGACATTCACTGGGAATCGACGTCCGAGCGACGGCAAGAAACGGCTTCAGATCTAGAAGTCGGCAGGCAAGGGTCGGCCAGTTCATCTCCACGGCCACTGGCCAGGCATCCCCGCAGCGACTCGCTGGAGCCGACGGCGTGTCCTGGAAGCACTTTCCTTTTTGTTCCCACCATGTGTACCGGGGGTTGCTAGAAGCACCCTGGCCCAAGGTGCCTCCAGCTTTACGCTGCATTTTGGAGCCCCTGGGGTTCCCTGGGCCTCGTGAGTGGTGCTCTGTCTGAAGGCCGTGGGGCCTTCTGGGAAATTCTGAGTGCACCTTGGGTCACTGGCACTTCTAGCAACACCCGAGTGTGTGGCAAGCTTTTGCGCAGCTCTTTCGCAGCACTTTCTCTGGGCTCGTGCGCCGCAGCCATCTCAAGCCTGCAGGCTTGCTGGGATCGTTTCAAGTTTCCTTGCAAGCGTCTCCTACAATCTAGGCCTCCTAGATGGGGTCGGCGGATCGAGCCGCATCGCCAATATATCAGCGATGCGGCTCGATGTAACGCCCGATTTAGTTCACGCCGACGTCGACGATGCGTCGCCAGCGTCGCCGATGCATCGTTGAGACGTCGCCGATGCATCGGCGATGCATCGGGGATGCGGGGCGACCTTCCGACCCCATCTACTCGGACCCCATCTAGGAGGACTCTGTACAAGCCTCCCAGGGACTCGGGTTGCTCGTGCCGGCTACAATCAGGAGGAAAAGAAACACACAGACACAATTAATCCTCGATTCTCCAGAAAATATGGGAAAATATGGGCAGTGGGCGGGAAGACAAAAACCCAGAAAATATGGGAAAATATGGGGAATCATTTTATTTGTGTGTATTTATTTGTGTGTCCTGGGGCCCCTTCATACAAGATGGCTCTGTTATCCAGGCTTTGGACTATGCGCAGCTCCTGCCGGCGCCGCCGCCTGCCGAGGCCGCCCCTGCGCGCATAGCCGCGCGAGGTCTCGGCGATGCGGCCCGAGTCGGCCGCCGGCCACACCTGCGCGGCCCGGCCACGCTGGCGTGCGCCGCTGGCCTCGCAACAAGATCTCCATCAAAGCATGTTGCTACAAGATCTTCCATCAAAGCATGGTCTCGCAACAAGATCTCCAACAAGACAAGATCGGCGTGAAGGTACTGTGGAGTTTTCTGACGACGCTGGTCCGCAGCCGCCGCCGCTTCGCTCTTCGAGGCAGGTCCCAGTGGTTCCGCAGGGCCAGTGCCACTCCCCTTGCGTCTGGGGCCCTCCCAGACAAGGGCGCGTCCTCCACTCGGGGCCCATGGGATGCAGCACTCGAGACACTGCCGGCCTCTTGATCTCACCGCCCACCAAACCACCCCAACCCAACCCGAAGGCCCCGATCTGCCCTCCGTTTCCGGTTGGGGGGGGGGGGGTCGGGGAACGCCGAGAAAGCACGCACGGAGCCCGTACCCCCCCCCCCACACCCGAAATTCGGGTCTTCGGGTTGGGCTGGGGTGGTCTGGTAGGCAGTCATGATCGGTTCGTGTCGAAGCCCTGCGGGGTCGACGCTCGCGGCCGTCCCTGCCCGCGCAGGCCACTCGAGAGAGCCAGCGCCCCGATGGACCTCGGGCCGTGGACGGAGGCTGCCAGGGGCGCACGCCCTCGGCCGTCGAGCGAAGCTCGGGCATGATGTCAGCTCAGGAGGGGAAAAAGCACACGGACACAATGAATCGTCGCTTCCCCCCTAAAAATGTGGGAAAATATGGGGAGTGGGGGGAAAGACAAAAACCCAGAAACTATGGGAAAACAGGGGGAGCCCTTCTATTTGTGTGTATTTATTTGTGTGTCCCGGGGCCCCTCCAATGATGTCAACGCCCATCCTGGGCGCTGCTCAGCACAAGGCCGCCAAGGCCATCAAGAAGGGGATCGAGATCGAGCTCTCCTCGCTCGTCGAGGAGGAAGTCCGCTTCCGAGATGAGCAGAGTAGTCTGAGCCCATCCCGGAAGCCAGCCCGCAGAAGTTCGACAAGAGCGATCACATGGATTCCAAGTCGCTGTATCAGATGGTACGTACCCGAGCTGCTGAACCTTCTGGGTCCCAGCGGTCAGGTGGATCAGATCGAACCGCCGAGGGTCGCCAAGGTCATGAGCATGATCATGGATATCTGCCACAGGGCTTGATGTGGAGATCCGCTACGACATCGAGCGACACAGACAACATGTCGAGGTGGTTTGCCACATCACCCAATGCTTCCAGGTCATGTCCTCGCATAGAAGAAGCACGGTAACTGCAGCAGCCGGCCAATCGTACAGCAAGTGTGAGCGCACTGCTCGATGAAAGAGACAACGTACCCTAGCAGGGGCCGTCCACGGCCTGCCGGCCTGCTGCAGCACCCGGCTCCACCACAGGTAGCCCGTGCTCTTCGTCGTTGCTGCACCGCCGCCGCCGCCGCGTGAGCAGCCAGAGCCTCCCGCGCAACTGCGCCGCAAGGTGGTGGGGATGGGACTGAAGCTGCTCCTCCTCCAGCTGCTCCTCTGCCACCTCCTCCTCTGCACCCCACTGGGTGGACGCCGGCGTGTCGCAGGCGTGCTGTTTCTCCTCCAGGACTTGGTGTGAAGCCGAATCTTGTCGCTCGAGCTCCTGCTGCTCCTCTTGCTGCTCCTCCTTCACCACAGAACGTCCTTCTGTAGAGTCTACAGCAGAGCTGCCCATGACAGGGCCAAGGGTGCCGCATTGGTGCAGTCCTTGACCAGTGAGATGATGCCGAATTCTTCCTGGTTTGTCTCTGCAGCGTGCACCGTAGCATCCCGCAGTCGTGATTCTGCGCGTGCATCGGGGGTTCTGCTGATACCTGTTCCTGCATGGCGGGCGGCTCCCCGCTGCCCACGAACCTCCCCCGCTGCAGTGTGCAGCGTGGCGTATCACAGGGTAGATCTGATTGCTCACTGCCCAAATCTGTTCCTGATCCTGGACTTGATCAACAGGTTTGGGCGGTTGGTGTTGTTGTTGGTGGTGTTATTGCTGTTGCTTGTGTTGTTGTTGTTGGTGCTGTTGCTGCTTTTGTTGTTGTGCTTGTTGCTGTCATTGTTCTTTGTACCGTTGCCGTTGCTGTTGTTAACGTTGATGTTTTTGTTGATGTTGTTGTTGTTGCTGTTGTTGGTGTTGTTGTTGTGCTTGTTGTTGTTGTTGCTGTTGTTGTTGTCATGGTTATTGTTATCGTTGCTGTTGCTGTTGTTTTTGGTGTTGTTAGTGTTGCTGTTGTTGCTGCTGTTGTTGTTGTTGAACTCTCATATCTGAGGAATAATTATTGTTGATCCCGCCTGTCCGGTGCACATTGTTTTTTATTGAAGTGCCCTTCCCGGGGCTCGCACCTCGTTTTTTGTCAGGGAAAGTCTTGAGGGTCAAACTGTGTCGTTGGCCCCGGATTTACAACAACAATGGCTCCCGCCTAAGACTTCCTCACAATGTAGCTAGGGCCCCCGCTCCCGCCCGAGACTTCCTCACGTTTTATTCAGGAATCGAGCTCTCGCTTGGGACTTCCTTAGAATGTATTATCCCGGCGCTCTGGAGTCGCGCTCTCGTTGGAGATTTGCTTGCAAATTACTGAAGAATAGCGCCCTTGCGTTGGAATTTCTTGCAATTTACTCAAGCGCCGCGCTCCCGACACCCAGGCGCCCAGGGGTCGCGCTCACGCTTAGGACTCCCTCACAGATTACATCGGAATCGGGATCTCGCTGCCGTTCGTGGCCCCGTTGCAGCCTTTCGTGGCCCCCTCGCTTTGTTTCGTGGCCCTGTTGCAGCCCTTCGTGGCCCCCTCGCTTTGTTTCGTGGCCCCGTTGCAGTCCCTCGTGGCCTCCTCGCTGCCCTTCGTGGCCCCGTTGCAGTCCCCGTTGCAGCCCTTCGTGGCCCCCGCGCTTTGTTTCGCGGCCCCGTCGCAGCCCTTTGTGGCCCCGTTGCAGCCCTTCGTGGCCCCATCGCTGCCCTTCGTGGCCCCGTTGCATCCTTTCGTGGCCCCCTCGCTGCCCGTGGTGGCCCCATATATGTATGCCCTTCATGGCCCCCGCTCGTTCGCGCCCGTGGTGGCCCCATATGCATATGTCCTACGTGGCCCAGTTGCTACCCTCAGTGGCCCCATCGTTGCCTTCTGTGGCCCCGCATTGTCTGCCCTTCGTGGCCCCCGCTCGTTCGCGCTCTTCGTGGCCCCATACGCATTCCCTTCGTGTCCCCGCTGTTGCCCTTCGTGGCCTACTTCGTGTCCGTGTGGCCCTGCTGTCGTTCTCTCTCGCTCTCGCTTTCGCTCGTCGCCGTCATCGTCGACATCGTCGTCGTCGCCGTCGTCGTCGACGTCGTCGTCGTCGTCGTTGTGGTCAGTCCCCTGTCCGTCCATCTTGGGGTCGGGTCGACGGTCCGCGGCCGCCCCACCGATCAGCGCTGCCGCTGGCCAGGCCGACGGTCCGCGGCCGCCCCGCCGCTTGCCGGGGCCCGGCCTGCAGGGAAGAAAGGTACACCCCCCAAAAGGGCTTCGATCGAAGACGAAGAGCGCGGGTATCGAGGGTTTGGGAAACAGGCGTTATTGGACACTCGAGCAGATAAAAGGGCGAACAGTCTTAAAACGAGTGTTGTTGTTGCTGTGTTGTTGTTGTTGTTGTTGTTGTTGTTGTTGTTGTTGTTGTTGGTGTTGGTGTTGTTGGTGTTGTTGGTGTTGTTGTGTTGTGTCATGTGTTGGCTGTAATTCGTAAAAGAAGACTGCCCAAGCAGTGGCGAAGAGTCCTGGCGTGCCTATAGCCCCACCAAACAATGTTCTAAGAACCTTTTGTTGCTCCCACGAAATATTCTCAGCACCTTTCTGGCCGGGGCTGTTTTGTTTTATCACATCGGGTCTCTGTTCCAAGAACACTGTTCTTGTTCTTAGAACACTGTTGGGTTCTAAGAACATTCCGTGGTAGGACTAACTAGGATCGGGGGAGCGTAAGACCTGGGTTTGCCAGGACTCGGGTTCGCCATCGTTTTTTGACGACCGCGCCTCGGATTTTGACGAGGAGGAGTTTCGTGGGATGTCTGCAGCGGGAGGCCTCGTCAAAATGCAGGCCCGGCCTCGTCATTTTTTTGACGACCTCGTCGGGGATTTCCGAGTCCCCCGTACCCAGGTCCTACGTCCCCCTGATGTTTGTTCTCAGAACATTTGTTGGGTTCTAAGAACATTCCGTGGTAGGACTAACTTCAAAGCCCCGAATCATCCGGGGTAGCTCGGGTCAGGGATAACTCGGGTTCCTTTTTCGGGAATCCAAACCCGAGTCACCCCGGACCCGAGTTACCCCGGATAACTCGGGCGTCCAGAGCCCCGAATCATCAGGGGTAACTCGGGTCAGGGCTAACTCGGGCTCGTTTTTCGGGAGTCCAGACCCGAGTTACCCCGGACCCGAGTTACCCCGGATAACTCGGGCGTCCAGAGCCCCGAATCATCAGGGGTAGCTCGGGTCAGGGCTAACTCGGGCTCCTTATTCGGGGAGTCCAAACCCGAGTTACCCCGGACCCGAGTTACCCCGGATAACTCGGGCGCCCAAGTAGGACTAACTAGGAATGCTGGGACGGTCGGTCCCTGCTCAGAGTGCCCGGACCCGTCAGCTCCGTGCAGGGGGCTCCTCTCCGGGGGCCCCGCTCCTGCCCGCGGCGGGGGGCTCCCCGTTCCTGCCCGCTTCCGGGCCAGGCGCGCCGCTTTCGGGCCACGAACGGCCTGTTCCTCCTCCTCCTCCTCCTCCTCCTCCTCCTCCTCCTTCCCTCCCCTCCTCCTCGTTGCTCCTCCTCCTCCTCCTCCTCGTCCTCCTCCTCCTTGTCCTCCTTGTTATTCCTCCTTTCCCTCCCCTTCCTTCTCTTGCTCCTCCTCCTCCTCCTCCTCGTCCTCCTCCTCCTGTGGCCTCCCCATTTGTCGTCCGCTCCTGCTCTGTTGCAGGATGTTTTCGAGGGAGGCTGTCTGCCCCCACCCCCATTTTCCGGAGCTTCAGCTGCCGACGAGCTTCGTTCCTTCGCTGGGCTCCTCCACATGCTACGTGCTTGGCATCGCATGGACGTGTGCAGTGTTTCTCGGCCACGGCCCTCCCTCTCCAGTTCACCCGCAGTCGAGCGCGTGTCGGGCACGCGCGTTCCTTCTTCCCCCGGCCCCTCCTCCGCATGAGACACGTTCCCGCCTGGCCGCACACACTTTTTGGTCTGCGGGTCGAGAGCGAGCTTCTTCCGGTTAAGAGCTAGGCGGGCCGCGCAAAGCACTAATTGGGGAGAGAGGGCGCGGGCGGGCGGGGCCTCAGGCGGCCGGAGGGCGCGGGGTGCAGGCGGTGCTGAAGAGCTTGCACAGGGAAAGGTACACCTTGGACATGAGGCGGAGGCGAAGTCCCGGAGAGTGAGCGGAGTGGTGTTGCCGTCGACGGCGCATCAAGATCACCATATTCAAGTTCTGCGTGCGGAAGGACGTGAACAGGTCGACGTCCAGGGGGAAGAAGTCCACCATGAAGGCGATGAGCAACGTGTGCCACCAAATGGTGAGGAGAGGCCCAGGAGATGAGGAGGACCACGAAGACGATGTGCAGCGTTGTGCCACCGGGTGGTCGGTAGCGGCCTGGGGTGGTAGTCCAATCCACGTCCAGGGAGCAGCCAAGAGGTGCGGCCAGAAACAGGGCCGTCTGTGCCCGACTGGATGTCGGTGGTGTGCAGGGAGGAAGCTTGACCTGCACAGTCAGCGCGTGAAGACGGGCAGGAGCCACACACGATGCGCTGACAATCGCATGTCCAAGGGCCGGGCCTGAGCCGCGCTGCCCAGGGCAAGCGCGGCCGCCGAAGCGGCAAGGTGCAGTGCCCAGCACCGGGCCGGAGCCGCGCTGTGCCGGGCGCCGCCGCCATGGGAGGGGGGGGAAGCGAGCGGGGGGGGGGGAAGAAGCGAACAGGGAGGAGAGAGGCCGGCATCCCGCGCCAGCCGAAATCGCGTCAGCTTGCACCGGGGTGCTCACGTGGGGACAAACCCCACTGTGTACAGGTAGAACACAAGGTTTCATTGCAGGTAAAAGGGGCTGACACGCCAGGTGGGACACAAAATCCCAGATCCTTGAATCTCCTCCAGCCAATGGGTACAGGTGGGACACAGAGTCCCAGATCCTTGAATCTCCTTCAGCCAAAGGGTACAGGTGGGACACATAGTCCCAGATCCTAGAGAACGGGAGAGGGGGAGGGGAGGGGAGCGAAGGACGGGGTCCAGGTGGAAGGGTGGGTAGCCAGCCCGTGGAACGCGGGCGCAACAGGGGCGATGGGGTGCAGGTGGTTGGGAAGGGAAGGACACACGGTCCCCAGCCATGTGGGAGAGTTGGGGTGGGGTTTGGGGGTCGGGGGCGCAGGTGGTGGGAACGATTGGCTGGTTGTGCTGTGGTGCCGTGGGGCAAGAGGTGGTCGGGTCGACGACCGTCAGCGCCGCGGGCGCTTTCCGTCACCCTTAGCGACCACAGAGACCTCCTGGCCGCACACACGCACACATCATACACGTCCTACCCAAGGCACACGAGCGCAATAATCTAGCAACTCGCACGACTCACTCAGGACCCATGCGCGCCATTGCGAGACCTCCACGTGCGTGCGCCACTGCGAGGAACACGCGCACACACATCATACAGACGCACATGCAGAGTCGCACGGACATCACACATATGCACAAGGCACAGAGGCAGACCGAGTCATTCACACGACACGCGCAGCAAACAACACAGGCGCATAGGATTCGCAGGGCGTGGTAGGCGCGACACGCTCGCAAGGCGTGGCATGCGAGGCACTTTCTCCACACAGGGGGTGCGCAGGGGATGGTCTGTCGCCGCGGTCTCTATCCATCTCAGGTTCGCTTGGAGTGGCAGGCGTGGCATTCTCCCTTGATGCCACGAGGGGTGCGCAGGGGTGGTCCCTCACCGCGGTCTCTATCCGTCTCAGGGTCGTGGGGCGTGGCAGGCGCGGCACTTCCTCTACACCGCAAGGGGTGCGCACGGAGTGGTCCTTCACAACGGTCTCTATACGTCTCAGGGTTGCTGGGCGTGGCAGGCGTGGCGCTTTCTCCACGCCGCGGGGGGTGCGTGTGCGCAAGGGGTGGTCCCTCACCGCGGTCTCTATCCGTCTCAGGGTTGCGGGCCTGGCAGGCGCGGTTTTTTTTCCACGCCGCGGGGGGTGCGCATGATTTGATGCAAGGCTGATTTGATTCATCCTCATCGTCATCTATCGAATTCTGTTCGGCGCCGGCGTTTGGCCGGGCTCTCTCGCCTGTCGCCGCTCTGCACAGCGTTTGGCTGTTCGCTTGCTTTGCCTACGCGTCCACTCGGATGCAAGGCTGCTGTACTGTACTGTACGCGGGGGGTGCGCACGGGGGGTTCCTTCACAACGGTCTCTATCAGTCTCAGGGTTGCGGGCCGTGGCAGGCGTGGCACTTTCTCCACGCCACAGGGGGTGTTCAGACGGTGGCGCGTCACCGCTGTTTTATCCGTTTCAGGGTTGCGGGGCTTGGTAGGCGTGGCGCACTCTTCACGCCACATGGGGTGCGCAGGGGGTGGTCCCTCACCGCGGCCTCTATCCGTCTCAGTGTCGCGGGGCGTGGCAGGTGTGGCACTGTCTTGAACCACAAGGGGTGCGCAATGGTGGTCCATCACCGCGGTCTGTATCCGTCTCATGGTCGTGGGGCGTGGTAGGCGCGGCATTTTCCCCGCATCACAGAGGGTGCGCATGGGCCAGGTTTCGTCGTGAGCT